TTGTTTGTCTCTGAGTGGTTCAGAAATCATCCTGGAGTTATTTATCTCAGACTGTGGTATTTGGATCTTCTGTATTTGTCCTTTCAGACACTGTGCTGGGTCGATGTCGGTGTCAGTTTGTGCTTCTTTGTGAGACTGTCTGGATGTTTGGGGCCCTGATGCTGATGGAGAAGAAGCCTTACATCTAAAGAGCCTGAAATGTTTTCACAGTGCTGTATATCATTTAGTTTTTTATTGTTGGTTGGATGAAATATGCAGTTTGATCACCAACAGATGAATGAATGATGAAAGTTAGTTGCAGCTCCCTGCAGTAGAGGAGGCAGCAACCACAGCAGCAGTAGTGTTTCCTCAGAGCAGCAGTCGTAGAAGGCTGGATGCAGTGTGTGTTTGCAGCCACTAGAGGGCAACAGTGCAACACTGATAATCCTGACTGCAGCAGCAGCATCATGCAGACACTTCTTTATGGACACATGTTGACATGTGACAGCTGGAATTAAGCACATTAATGAAAGATCAGGAAATTTAAATATTGTGTAACTGCAGCAGGAGATTCAGATGAAAGAAAAATATGAAGTATAAAAAACATCAAATGTAGATGATAAATGATCAGAGTTGTAAATGTCAAGTACAGTTTAGAAAGTGGAAGTAGGATTATTGTTGGTTTTATTATAGCTTACATAGTGAGAAAATATATTTTAACATTTCAATAAGGTAGAAACAAGCTGCAGACAGATTAAACAAAAATGAAGTAAAACAAACAAAAAAAACATAGAAAGAAAAACAACGTAAGAGTTTGAAAAAGAAACGCTGCAGATTTTTCATCAAAAACCAAGTGTAAAAACTATATATAATAAATTATATGTAAATATGCAGAGTTCCTAATTCTGACAAATTATTATTAACAATATTATTTTCATACATAAAGTTAAAGAAATGCACTTTTATCGTTTCAGGAAAAAGATTTCACATATTCAAACTAACTCTCTTCCTTTATCTCTAAAGCAGATCAAAGTTTCCAAAATACTCCAAATCTGTCCAATTGAATGTTGACAAATGTGTTTAAAATTATGCAACATAAATAAATGAAAAAGATTACTGATGATAAAACTGTAGAATTGTAGAAAAGTGTTTGATATGTTATAAAAGTGAAAGTATTAAATGAAATCAAGTCAGAGTTGAGGAGCTGTGTGGATTTGTAGTTTTCTGTTTCCATCCCAACAACAGATAACA